GAGCCGCCCCTGAAACATAGGTGACCTCAGGTATGACTTGATCAAGTTTTGAAAAGCTCCTCTCAGCTTGAGCCACAGTGACTGGCAGAGCAGTCCAAAAGTTGGGGTAGATCTCCAATAGATCTTTATCATGATCCATAATATTTTAGAATTGCCTCTGAAATTGTAATTTAAACTGACATAAAAAACTGTAGACTACCAAAAATGCCAACTTTTACAGAACAAATCATGTAAAAAATAATCAGTGCAGCCATCTGCAATAAATAAACAGGATAGTTAGTGGTGACTGGGGAGTTTTCTTCTGCTTGTAGAATTGTTTTATTTATTATTATGTGAACATGATCAACATGTGTTTGTTGTTGTTCAGGCAGGCCACGGGCTGCAGTGAGCATTTAACAAATCCTAGTTTGAATCAGTAAAAAACGATTCAAGGACTTTTTTCAAACCATTTGAATATTCGTTTAAATATTTCAGCCCTATTAGCTCTGTTAGCAATTAGTTGACCGCATTTAACCGTTAAAATCCCAGTTAACTGGTTCAAAAAATTGAAAACATGCATCATGAGAGCTACATACCTTTATCTTTCTGCTCTTTTTTTCTTTTTTTCCCCCTGAATGGGGCACCTGGTGGTTTTAGCCTTTTTATGTTCATCTCTTCTGTTTGTCTCCTGACTCAGTAAGTTTCCTTTAGTCGGGACTAAACAATTTGACCTTGATGGGGGGTGACCACAAAATCGTTTTGTTTTTCCTTTTTTTATTCGGCCATTTCACACAATTCAGAGAAACCTGAAAGAATGATAGGCCTGTGTTTATGATATTATGAATGAAATATGGAAGAACATTAAGATGTGATTGACTTTAGCCATGTTAATACAGTTGATTCAGCCCCTGCACGCTCATTTCATTTGGGAAAGACGCAGAGGTGAATTCCCCCGCCGCACCCCTCCCCTTCCTGTTCTTTAGACACACGGAGCACGTGAACGTTCTCAGTCAGCAGGAGCGCCTGCAACTGCAGGGGGCGCCAACTTGCTGTTTCCAATCCAGACACTGTCATAAGACAGATAATAGAAAACCTCGGTGCGGCGCAGATTTCCTTTTTTTTTTTTTACTCCGCGCTTGTGCGCCCCTTTTGTGTCATGAAAAAATGCCGCCCCGGGCAACTGCCCTGTCTGCCCGTGCCTAAAACCGCTACTGTCTGGTGTTGATAGTTTACATGAAACAGGTGTTTGGAATAAATCTTTATGCATTACTACTGTAGCATGTGGGATGACAAAATGTTCTGTTCTGTTCTGGTCTTAAAGGGTTTCCAATTTTCTAGCTTCTTTGACCAAATCCCTGTTTGGGTTTTCACAGATCTGAAGAGCTTGTTTGCTGATGTTTGTGTTGCTTATCCTTCCCTTCTGCCCAAGTGAGAACACTCTTGATGTTGCCTAGTGATCTCATCACTGTTTGTGTTTCAGCTTGAGTGGGTGATGAGATTTGAACAGATCTGTTTGTGCTGGAAATTCTAATGGCTTACATCACACCATCTCAAATAAAGGGTTAATGCTATGGATAAATGAAACTATTTTGGTAGCACATTAACTCCTAATCCACCTGAAAGGCTTTAAAACATATTCAGAGCAAACAGAAGGTTGTTATTTTCCCCCTGAGCTGTGTGCTTTGAAATGGTAAACCTACCTCAGAAGAAAATTCACCCCAAAAAAAGGTTCAGAGCTGCATTTTATGGGGAACAATTTTTTATTTTGAAACTATAAAATAAAACAGTAAATTAGTCTGAAATAAGGATACTGGACTGTGTCAGGGTAAAAGCTGTTTTCAGTCCGGTGGTCTTTGCCCTCAGGCTGTGAAGCCTCCTGCCTGATGGATGAGGGGTGAAGAGATTATGTGCAGGGTGGGAGGGGTCACTCGTGCTGCAGTGAGGGTTGTCCATGCATCTGTCAGCATATATCTGAGATGCAGGCTGCTTCCAATGGTCTATTGTGCAGAATTAGCCACCCTCTGCAGTACCCATTTCTCAGCCATTGTGCAGCTCCCGTACCAGACAGTGATGCACGGGATCAGCGTGATTTCCACGGTGCACCTATAGGATTATCCTGTTCATGCCTGCCCTCTTCAGTTTTCTCAGGAAATTCAGGAGCTGGAGAACTTTTTAAATGATGAGAGTAATTGTCAGATGTCAGCTGAAGGTGTAAGTCAAGTGTATTCAGTGGGATTTCATCCAGAGAACCACTTCAGCTGCTGCACTGTGAATGCAAAGCTGACAGAGAGCCAATTCCATTTTTGGTTCTTTTTTAAAAAACAGAAAAGGTTCCTTTTACCTTGCTTGCTGACAGTTTCGTTCGCAGCTGCAAACTTCCTCAGAGCTACCACTGATGGCGGTGTCACTCCCTACTCCGTTTATCCGCGGGCAGCAGAGGACGTTGTCGCCCTCTGCTGCCCGCTCTCCTCTCTCCGATGATGCAGTCCCATGCACGATCCAATGTGTAGACCCCATCGTTTCTGTTCATGGTCCCGCATCCATGTATCCTTATCTCTATACCTTCCTTTATCCATCCATTCATTCATCCATCCATTGTCTGAACCTGCTTTGTCCACGTAGGGTCGCGGGGGGGCTGGTGCCTATCTCCAGTGGTCAATGGGCAATCAGGCAGGGTACACCCGGGACAGAGAGCCAGCCCATCACAGGGCAACACAGAGAAGCACAGGACAAACAATCACACACACACACACACACACACACACACACACACACACACACACACACACACACACACACACACACACACACACACACACACACACACACACACACACACACACACACACACACACACCTAAGGACAATTTAGACAGACCAATTGACCTAACAGTCATGTTTTTGGACTGTGGGAGGAAGCCGGAGTACCCGGAGAGAACCCACGCATGCACAGGGAGAACATGCAAACTCCATGCAGAAAGGTCCCTGGTTGGGAAGTGAATCCAGGACCTTCTTGCTGCAAGGCAACAACTCTAACCAATCCGCCACTGCGCAGACCGCTTCGTTTATCCATCTTTTCTATTTTTGTTGTTCTGTATTTATGATCCTTGTGTTGTCCCAGTCCATTATATTGTTTTCTCTTAAGCAGTGATCTGTTATAGCTGACTTCTTTATTGTGCTTTCTGCTTCTTGTTTTGCTGGTCTTGGGTGTCTTTGACTTGTTTCTCTCTCGCACTCCTTTCTATGTTCTATTGTTTATGTCTTGAGTTGGCGTCGGGTTTCTCCTATGTATGTTTTATAGCAGAGTTTGCATGGGATTTTGTAAATGACTCCACATATGTCCTGCTGGTATCTTGTCTTTTGGGTGTACTAGTCTGTTTCTAACTGTTGTGTATGGATTTGTTGGTGTGTTTATGTTGTGCTTTATCATTGTTGCTATTAATTTTTCTGTTATGCCTTTGATGTATGGTAGGGTGTTACAACCAGGTGTCTAGGGGGCCTGGGGTAACATGGAGGACGCGTGACACAAAGGAAAATTAACAAAAGTTTTATTTACTTTTCTCCTACTCCAGAAAAGATGACTATTATTATTATTATTAACCACCATGGATCTAAAACCCCTTTAACCAAAACAGGTTCAAACACTAACATGTAACATAACTCTAAAGAGAGCACAAAATCTAAGGTAACAGATTACCCCTAAAGCTAATTTCTTCTTCAATATCGAAGTTCTAAGTGGGAGACAACAGACCAGAGGACAGGCAGCTCTGCACTATTGTCCCCATTGGTGAGGAGCTCCAGCAGGTCCTTTAAGCAATTTGCGGCTGATGAAAACCCAGCTCAGCTGGTGCAAGGAGGAGCAAGGGTGAGCAAACAGGCCATACTCTGCAGGCAGGCTCCTCAGATGCAGCATAAAAATGCACAGAAAAATGAAGTCACAACACAAAAAGGCTCCAGCCGTAACATAGGGTTATTGCTGGTTTTGGTTCTTGTCTTTCTGGGTTTCTGGTTCTTTGCTTTGGTTGTTCTTTTCTTTCTGTTGTTGTTTGTTGTTTTTCTTTCTTTATCGCCCATGTCGGGTATCCGCAGGTCTTTAAAGCATGTTGTATGTGTTTGTCCTCTTGTTTACGGTCTCTTTCTTCAGTTATCATGTTTGCTCTGTGATGTAATGTACTGATTATTGACACATTTCCCCTCTGTATGCTACTTTTATCAGCAGAATGCTGTAGGAGTTGCTCTGGATCCAAATTATTTTTAGTAATGAACATAATTAAAAGAGTATTATTAAATAATACAACTAGACTATATATATATATATATATATATATATATATATATATATATATATATATATATGTATGCATATGTATATTTCAATCCACTTTTCATTTGCCCAGGAGTTAGATTTGAAGTTGCATCAAGGAAACATTTCTTTTCTCACAGAATAAAACTACCAAAATAATATTTTCAAATTCTGATGGATCTGTGCTTCTGCAGTATTTCAGTGTGATTATAATGTCAGTCTTGCATGTTTTGTAAAATGTTTGCAAAAGTTTGAAGATCACAGGTGGATTAACTTTACCTGTTTTCAGGTCAATAAGCTTGTGTTGTACTTTTAAGTGTTGGGTTACATGTGCTTGCTTTAGGTCTAGTTGTATTATTTAATAATACTCTTTTAATTATGTTCATTACTAAAAATAATTTGGATCCAGAGCATCTCCTGCAGCATTCTGCTGGTAAAAGTAGCATACAGAGGGGAAATGTGTCAACTCTGCAGCTTCACGCACATCCCGACACGATCCAAGGATTCAGGTTACCTCAGTACGCAGAGCACTCTGCATCAGCACTTAGGTGACCACATTCTTCCATGCCCTGACTGCATGACTCAGCAACCTGAATATACTGAAACTTAGACTCTTGATCTTGACAGCTTCAAGAGACCTAAATATTTAACTAGAAGTTGACGTTTCAGCTGAATGCAGAGATTCTAAAAATCCATTTCTCTTGGATTTCTTTTCCAGTACGAATACTTCAATGCTGTTCTGATCAATGAGGTAAATGAGGAGGGGAACAATGTAGAGCTGGGAGGAGAGTTCGTCCTGCAACCCAATGATCATTTCAACAACCTGTCAGTCAACCTGAGTCTTAGTGTGGTCCAGGTCCCCACCAACATGTACAACAAAGGTACGTTGACCACTCCTACAGGCAGCATGCACCAAACTCAAAACACCTTTATATGATTTACATTACATAGTCATGTTTAAAAGAAAATGAGAATTTGCTGTGTTGATGCACACAAACAAATGCAAAATTATCCTGTATGTATTCACTCTTGTTTTGAGCTTCACATGCTGCCAGGTGTGTGTCAGTCACATACATTTGCTTGATACCTTATTGACAGCTCTTGGACAGCTTGGGGATGCTCTATGTAGAGTGACAAATCTGACTGACCTTTAACAACCTCAAGTTGAGGAATGAGATGTCATTCCACAGCTAATTGTGACCAGAGTAGTGACCAGGATGAGGTGAATGAGCCAAGCTGTAACAAATCTACTCTATTATCCGCTTTTCTGTCACAGTCTGTTGTACTTTATTTAGTTTAAGAACACTATAATTGTGCACTTATAAAGCTCATGCTTTGTAAAAAAATTCTTGAAACAGTTCAAACATATTTAAACTTTAAATCGTATCTATTTTTGGAGACACGTAAAACTTCATTGTTTGGATCTCTTTGGATTATCCCTACCACACACTGACCACATTAACAGTTAAATAATTAGACTTCTCTTGATTATAAGTCCAACCAGAGAATTCAAGGCCTTGTGCAACACTCAGTGGACGGAGCAAATGTCATGTTGGCTTAACCCGGCTACAAGACGTGAAGAAAGTACATAGCAAGAGAAATAGAGGGAGAGAAAATAGGGAGAAAGTAAATGAGCGAGAAAGTAGGTTAAGTCAGACTGATGGAAGGTCTAAGTAGGAGATTAATTGCACCCTGTAGAAAAACGAGAAAAAGCAAGTGAGAGTGACAGGGTGAAAGTGAGACAAGCTAAATGAATGCAACAGCAAGGAAAGTGGATCTGGCAGGCTGGCAGACCAATAAAGGAGGAATAGAAGAGCAGTAATTGTGATTTGATTTACAGACAAAATTATTAGACTTGTACCTACCACAATAACACATGATACAGCTGTATGGGCTTGGCCGTTAGGGAGCTGTTGAGGGCAATGACTGTGTGTGTGTGTGTGTGTGTGTGTGTGTGTGTGTGTGTGTGTGTGTGTGTGTGTGTGTGTGTTGTTTAACTTTTCTACCTAGGACCAAACTGACATATTCACTAATATTTTGAAGATCGATGGGCCTTATTAGGACCCACTGTTTTAGGCTTAGGGGTGAGGTTTAGAGGTAAGATGTGAATTGAGTTTTTTTGTACAGTATGATTTAGGAATACACTGGTTATGGCTGGGGTAAGGGTTTGGGCTAGGCATAAATCCATAGTCTTAATATGGATAGAAAAACAAACGTGTGTGTGTGTGTGTGTGTGAGAAGGAAACTGTATAGTTTATTCAATGAAAACTTCTGCAGTTCTCACCTATCCTGAGTAGTTTTTAGACATTAGATAGCTATGTTGTTTATGATGTTATAATTTTAAAAATGGTTAATTACTTTATGCATTTTATTTATAAGAAATCAATTATTTGTAAAGATTGGATAATAAAAAAATAACTGTGAATGCAAAGCTTAGGTAATCATTAATTATTCATTAGATTGTGATTCATTCATCATCACTTACTCAGTAGATACGCACATTTTGGAGCCATTATTGTAAAGTCTTATCCTTTTTTTGTTGGTGATTTTTTTCTCTAGTCAAATAGAGCAATCCTGGTTCTCTGTTACATTTTTCTGTGAATGTAATGTTTGTCCAATTTCTTTTAGCTGCACTTTCTGTTTTAATTTGGTAAGGTAATTTTTCTCACTTACACCTTGCTTCACTTTTTGTTCTTTAGTTGATAGTTTGACTCAGTATATGATCATCCTGTGTCTTTTATATGGTCATCTATCCAGTGTTGCCTTTAGATAAGTTTATGCTTTCTTAGATTCTACAGTTTCTCATGCGAGTTGCAAGGCTGTGCTCTTGTATCAATGTGTCACTCATTTTTCTCCAAAAAAGAAAAAAATAAACAGTTGTGGATTTCTTCTCTGTTTCGTTTCTGTAAGCCATAAAGTGCAAGAAATGTGAGACACGTCAAACCTGTTTCGCACAGAATGTGGTGCGGATGCGGTCACTTCCTGTCTGGCTCAAGGGATTTCTTAAACTTCATGGCCATCCACATGAAGCATCTGGAAAAAATACTCCATGCAGAAACTGAATGCTGTGATTGGACTCAATCATTTTTGACCTGCTCAAAAGCCATACAGAATTCAATCCATATTTGTTCCACATTTAGTGTCAAAAAGGCTTTGAGATGGGTTGATGATAAAACTGAATAAAAACGAGTTAACTGCAATCCATTGGACACATAATTGGGACACTGACCCAAAAACCAGAGGTGGAAAGTAACAAATTACATTTACTCACGTTACTGTAATTGAGTAGCTTTTTTGTAAATTTATACTTTTTAAGTCGTTTTTAAAAGCTGTTCTTTTACTTTTACTTGAGTAAGTTTTTAAAAAAGAATTGTAATTCGCTACATTTTAAATCATATCCGTTACTGAGTAAAAATAAATTATAGGCTTAATAAATTACAAATATTACGTGTAGCAGCGTCGGAACGGAAAGAGACACCTGCATGAGCGCCGCGCCTAAACCGTGGGGGTGTACACTCAAAGATATCGGTTCAGTTCCTCAACTCGCTGTTTACCTCCTCTCTCCCTCCTCTCCTGTGTGTTGGATCCCGCACCTTCGCGCACCGGTGTGACGTCATCAGAAATCTGCTCGGTTCGGTAGCCGGACTCTGTTCCGTGTTTGAAGTGTGTTTCTCTACCGCTCCGCATGGAAGCAGCAAAATAACGTTTAGCGCTCATAACAAGCGGATTCTCAGCGCTCTGCTCATAAAACAGAAGACCTGCAGGCCTCGGTGAGTTAAAACATCCTGATACTGTTCAGGTGTAAACATTGTGCTCCATCCCTGTGTTTGAACTCAGAAGTTGCTCCTTGATGCTACAGATATGTGATGATTTAGCTTGTTTCTTTATTTTACTCCAGAATAAGAGATTAAATTATTACAAAAGCAGTTCAATGTAGTTAAATTAGTCATTCAAAAGATTCTAACATGCTGCAGTGTGTGTGTGTGTGTGTGTGTGTGTGTTACACATATAGGACTGCATGAGACAGCATGGTTTCATCAAATCCATGCAGTCCTATATCTTGGCTGAAGTAATGGCTCAGGAAAATAAAATATTTCATAAATAATGACGTCTCTGCAGTGTTTATGATAATGTTTTATCTTATCTTTGGTCTGGGAAGTGTAACTTATCATGATACTAGCCTTTTAAAACATGTTAAAGTTTTACAAGAGGAGATAAATGCATAAATTTAAAGTTCATGTTTGGAGACCAACCTTCACAGATTGGAGGCTCACGCTGGTGAGGAGACACCATTAGTTCTAGTAACACCTGGGCTCCCAAGGCCTGTTCTGACAGGATGGACGTTACGGGACCCTTAAGGCTTCCAGCTGGACGACTGGAGGATTATTTAGGAGGATTTGAATGAACAAACTGATTTCAGTGGTGAAGGGTTAAATGAGTGAGTGAACCCACCACCAAGGATGAACTCTGCTAACTTTACAAATCAGCTGCTCTAAATAAGCATGAAGATCAGAGAGGAGCTCTAGGATGGACACGAATAAAGGAACTGTAATGTAGAGGTAAAGTAGGGCAGGGCCAACGTTAGCAGCTGTCATACGGTCCATCTGAAATGTTTGACTGCATTAGGCTTGTAATATTATGTGACAGGTTAGAAATTGAAACTTACCACAATTGAAACTTACCATCCTAGAAAATCCTCGTCCAATCAATGTGCACGTCCTGTTCTCACTGATTGGATAGAAATCCCTCCTTCAAGCTGAGCGTGTGTGTATGTGTGTGCAAGCGAATTGTGAACTGGCGTTGTGATTTAGCACTACTTAGATGTAGCCATCCTTACGCTGACAAAAATGTAACTAAGAAACTTTTACTTTGAGTACATTTTGTTTACGATACTTTTTACTTTTACTTAAGTAAAAATTTAGGCAAGTACTTTTACTTGTAATTGAGTAAAAAATTATCAAAGTATTGGTACTCGTACTTAAGTAGGAAATTTTAGTACTCTTTCCACCTCTGCCAAAAACAGCAGAACTGTTGCATCTCATGGCCCAGCCATTCATTAATATTTTTGCAATGTGATGTACATAAAATTTGTAATAAATTCCATGTTTTCCTATAAGAGTTTGTTTCTCCATCTAGTCTCCAGACAGTTGCAGTCACAGTCCCAGGAACGACTGTTTTCAAGAAGGATGCGAGGTCCTGTGGGTTAGGAAGTGGGTGTGAAAAGTACAGCACATTCTATTGGCAATTAAGAATAAACATAAATGCAGTGTGTCATCAAATGCATTGTTCATTTCTTCTGTGGAGACACAAAACACACCAACAGAATGTGACAAAACAAGAAAACAGATGATGCTAGGCTGCTGAATGTTGCATTTAAAATCTGTTGTTTTAACATGACAGCTCTGGAGAAAATAACATCACTTTTTGTTCAATGCTTGTTGCCTGAGCACTTATGACATCTTATGGTGCGAGACAATTGGAAAAACAGCATTAAGGAAACCAAGGATGTAAAAACCGTGAAAAGAGAAGAAAGAGATCCATGGTTGAATGTATTTAGTAAAATTTCATGGGTTTTATTCTCACTTTTGTTTTCCACCGACATGAATCTCTTTTCACTTATTTCTTGGTTGAGCTTCTATCTTCCTCACACATAGTGACTGTCATCTGAGCCTCCTCCTTATGCCGCTGAGGAGCTGGCTGGAGCCTCTGGACAGGAATGGTTTGTCATCAGCTGTGATAAATTTGACTTTAACTCTGTGAGAGTACAAAGCTCTGTGGGTCTGGAGATTAATCACAAGTGGATGATCCATCTTCCAGCTTCACACTGCTAACAAAATACACCCCAAACAACACGACATGACACGAGCATGTACGATGGATGCATGTCGACATACAATTACACACACACACACAGACACACACACACACACACACACACACACACACAATTCTTTAGTTTATTGCCTCCTTCGTTTCATTTCCTCCCAGTTTCACTGAAGGTAATCCAATTATGTGAATAATATGAATAACCTGAATAATGAAACTTCATATTTCTCACATCACTCAAACCACCTTCATTTTACTTTTTAATCTACACGTTTTAGAATAATATCATATTAAAGGTGTGAGTCCATTCAGATGTATGTAAATTGCATCTTATAGGAAAACTCGTACTTGCAGCCTTATCTTGATGAGTTTATCCAGTAACAGACTCTCCAGCAGAAGTGACTGTATTGTTGTGTGAAAGGAGGCTGGCGCTCTACCCCATGGAGGTAGATGGGTGTTTACTATCAACAAAGGGCTGCAGTGAGCAATAGCTTCCAGAAGAATCACTCAATCATGGCTTATTGGCAGGGTTGAAGACAGCAGAGCAATGTTACCAGCGTAGGACATTATGGGAAATCTGTTATCTACATTTCTTTCTCTTGTCCATTAGCTACTTGTCTGAGTGTCTGCAATTTTATGACCATCTCTTTGTGTGCCTTCTTGGCTCTGTTTTCCTTTTTGTTTTATTTTTCTTCTCTCTGAAGTGTATTGTGTATCCGTCTCGCTGTATGATTTTGTGTCTGTTCATCATTTTCATCCTTCCTCCTCCTCCTCCTCGGCCCGCTGCTAAACCAAGTAAGCAGCTATAATGATCTTGGCTGGCTGCTCTCTAACCAGTACATTCACAACATCCTTGGCCTCAAATTTGAAAAGAAGCTTTCATTATGGGATATGCTAAACCCCTCTGTGTATCACATCAGTTTGAATGGAATTATTAGCTAACCATCGCAACATACAAATTGTGAGGACACACATGGATTTAGTTAGTATGTTACAGCACATACTTACAAATAATAATGACAGGAAGTAAATAAAAAAATTAAAAGCTGCATAAATTAATAATAGCCATGGATGTACATTTATTGGCATTGCCTTTTTGTGGTATATTGTGTGCTTTCTTTGTAATGTTTTATGGACAAAAGTATTCATTGATTCATTTGTTAAATACGAATGAAATACATCTGTTTTCTATAAAATTAGTCAGCTCTATTGTGTATTAAAAATACTGTTCTAAAACTCTGTAGCTCTAAATAAGTTAGATTTTGAGTTGTGGTGATGTCTTTTAGATATTGCTGCAATAACAAACATGATGTGACAGTATAAAAAGTTGCAGGCATTTAAAGTGCATATTTAATGTTCTTTAAAATGGTAGAAAAACATCACCTAAGGTCAAAAAGTTACTTTGGTTATCCTTCTAGGTTTTCAGACAACTAGCAGGTGTTTGAAAATACTAAATCAAGGGAAGTGGACAGGCTTCCCTAAAAAACGTGAGATTTTAGAGTCATATGACACATTACGTACCTCAAGGAAAACTTTGAAGAAGACGTGCTCGACTCCGGTTATTATTAGTTGCTGAGTTAGCACCGATTCAAGTAGTTTAATGATGGTTAATGTTTGTGAATGTTGGGGTTGTACAAATTCCCGTTTGTCTGGACATCGTGTTTGTCGATTTCCACAACAGAAAATGAACATCAGAAGCACAAAGATCAGATCATATAAATGTAGAGGCGAAATGGGCTGGGGCTTTCTATTGGCGCTGGAGTAACATTGGGCCGCCATCTTGGATAGGTGTCCCCGGTGAATTCATTGGGCTAGAAAAGTCAATAGTAATCCCACATAATCTGTTTTCAATAGTACGCTGATTGTTGGAACCATAGACGGCACAAAAACAGACATAATTGCTCACTCAGTGTTGACTCCGATTAGGTTTTGGAGAGTGAGGGACCCGTCCAATATGGTGGCGAAGTGATTATGCTCCAGTGTTCAATGTCCCCTCTATGTTTTTGTTTCGTCTCTTTCCCACCTCTTGTGGCAACTAGCCGTTTGTTTCATAAAAATAGTTTTACTCGTACTGATTTCCAAAGGAATTTTGGGTTTTCATAAACTGTATACCAAATCATCAATATTAGAAACAATAAAAGACTTGAACTATTTCAGATGTGTGTAATAAATCTAACATATATGAAAGTCTAATGTTTATCAGTACATTACAGACAATAATGAACTTTATCACAATATGCTAATTTTTTTAGAAGGACCTGTATATTTACCGTAAATCCTCTAATACAGGCCGGTATTCAATTAAAGGCTGGGTCTCCAATTTTGGCCGGTGTCGGAGTCAGCGGAGGTAAATAATGGCCGGTCTCTTATTGTGGCCGGGTGGAATGTGGTAACAAGCAAGTATGAGCGTCTCAGCGGCAGGGTTATGGTCCCCAAATCAAACAGCAGGAGGCAGTAGAGGTTCACGCAGACCTTTATTAGGCTTTTTCTTCTACGCTTTGTAACGCTACAGACACGATCCTCTATCATGCTCCTACCACACAGAGTCACGGTGTCAGTTAACCATGCTAATTCAACCCGCTCCACAGAACACACATCACCTTCCCTGTGGCTTACATAACACTCACACAACACGCAAATCAGCACATAGGAACTAGCAGAACGATAGGAAACACATATAACACAATACCCAGAATGCACCTGGTTTACTACCCCAGCCAGGTCATTACACTATCAAGTTCAAAGAGAACGTGCTGATTATGCTGCAGAACACTCTGGAGAGCAGCAGTAGGGGTTGTATGAACTAGTCAACTTCACTATAGTGACTTTTTATGCCTGTCGTCGACTAGTCGCTGTCACGTGATAATGACCGGCAAGATGCAGCCCTCGGAAAAGACAGCAGCCTGCTGTCAGCAGGTGACAAGCTCCTGCGCTCAGTGGGGGGGGGGGGGGGGGGGGGGGGGGGGGGCAACGCGCTGTGCCAGAGCGTCGGTACTGACACGCGATCGTTCATGTCGGTTCATTTCCTTTAATGTTTTCTGTCTTTTATTTGCGCCTGATGTGTATCGCTGTTGTGGAGCGGGGCGCTTCACCTTGTCCTCCGACGCACAGATCACTGATACGGCCGCCAAACAGCGAGCGCTCCGGTCGGTAGATCTGCCTCCTGCGCACGGCCACAGTAACAATCAGGTGTCGCCACCTCAAAAACTAATTTAACACGCGATCGTTCATGTCAGTTCATTTCCTTTAATGTTTTCTGTCTTTTATTTGCGCCTGATGCGTTTCGCTGCATGCTGTGGAGCGGGGCGCTGCGCGCATCACCTTGTCCTCCGACGCACTGATCACTGATACGGCCGCCAAACAGCGAGCGCTCCGCTGTTTTTGCGGTCGGTAGATCTTTTAGAACTGCAATTCAAAGGTAACTCATGAGGTGAATATATATGAACCCAGGTAGCAGTTTTTCTTTAGGATTGAGAGGAGATGCAGGAAGATAATAAACAGGCAGGACAGAAAAATAGTCAAATAAAAACAAGTTAGTTTTTGTACCTGCTGTTGCAACCAACAGACACCATTGAAGGTCATCAGAAGTGAGGAACAGAAAATGAAATAATTATTTTAATGTTTAGAGCAGCAGGAACTCCGAGAGGCTGCAGGCGCATCAGTGACTTTGCGGCCGCTGCGCAGGGGGAGGGGGGAGAGGGCTGAAGCAGGGGGAGGGGGGAGATGGCTGAAGCAGAAACTACCATTGTTAAAAGAAATGTGTTTAACTTTGAAAATGTGGGCGCAATTTTAATTGTCAAAAACTCCTGCGAACCATTAGTTCATTTTGCTCAAATAGAAATAGAGGCCTGCCTCTAATACTGGCCCTCCTTCCAATAAAGGCCTGGAGCTTGATGAGCTTGAGTCAAATACAGGCCCGGGCCTGTATTAGAGGATTTACGGTAAATTAAAAGATGCTTTTACCAGTTAGCATTTCCAAGTCTGTGTGCATTTTGAAGTTAACCAACCCTAACCCTAACCTCTTACAATGTAAGGGCTTCAGCATGTGTTTAACGTGGAAGATGCCCTTTAACCCTCCCACTGTCCTAATGGGTGACCCCGCGAGGAAAGCTGACCATTGAGCAGGGTTGACCACCTCACCCCTGCCACATGGACCTCAAGGGATAAACCATCAGTCCTGCTCAATGGTCAGCTTTCTTTGTGGGGTCACCCATAAAGACAGTGGGAGGGTTAAGCGCCAACTGGTTTTCTTTTGTTTTGTTAAAAGATGGATTTAAAGTCTATGAGAAGCAAGTTTTAAACCATACTTTCATAAAATGCATTGGGCAGATTTAATTTCCATATATTTAAATCACTTCTTACACTTGCTACATGAATTTGCTTCTATATTCACATCAAATCCTGTCACATCGTTTCATTCAGCTTTTTTGTGAATTGTCTTTGAATCTTTGTGTAATTATTTATTTAAAATAAAGTTTTGTAGATCTTCTTCAACTGAATGAACAGAAACCAAAGAGCATTTTCTGGACAGGGAAATCTGTAATAATCTCATTTTATTTTTTTGGTCTCTCTTTTATTTTCTAGACTCTGCTATAGTCAACGGCGTGTTCTGGTCCGAGGCCCTGAACAAAGTGTTTGTGGATAACTTTGAGCGAGACCCCTCGCTCATATGGCAGTACTTCGGCAGCGCCAAGGGCTTCTTCAGACAATACCCAGGTGTTTGTTATACCGTATATATGTGGCAGTTAGTGGCTACATGTATACTTAAGTTCCTGACACCATAAAGCATGATGGCAAGTGTGTTTGGGAGAAGCTTAGGGCAGGGGCGACGTTAGGCCTGGCTACTTGGGCTGAAGCCCCGGATGTTTTATGAAAAGCCCCGGATCTAAATCGCAGAAGTAACATGCAGTACCAAAGTCCAACAGAGAGGGAGCAGCTGGCAGTAGTTTGTATACAGCCTGCCTGAGCCACCACCACTGAAGAAGAAGCCCTTCAGCAGCCGGCTTCTTCTACAGTCTCTGCCTGAAACGCATGAGTGAAGATGGACATAAGGACGTTTTTTAGACAAAAAGTACAACCACAGAACCCCAGCTTTGATGAGACTGATGTTGACTCAGGTTTGTGAGCCTTATTTGAAGTTGTGCTGCTTAGAGCCCTGCACAGGCCTAAAATCTGAGCCCGTGTCTGGCCCGGCCCGAGGGGGTGGAGCCCCAGCCCGACCCGGCCCGAAAAGGCTTTCAGGATTCTCTGGCCCGACCCGAGCCTGACTTTTTTTTTAACCAACTAAATGAAAACAAAGTGTGTCAATCCTGACCAATGTGTTAAAAGACGTGCAGGATCCGATCAATTTGTTTATCCCTCGTTTACCGTCACGGAGATAACGGCGCACTGGCTCTGGTGTTAATCAAGTTAAATTTTATCTCTTTCCAAGAATTTTCACAAGAAAACAAAACAGTCAAAAGCAGGGCTTGTGTTGACCAGACAGTTCCCGTATTTGACGGTTTATTTGGACGGAGAAAGAATAGAAAGAATTACCACGACACATGCAGACAAACTGACATTTTATTCGTTACACACATCGCAGATGTAGCTAAATCACCCAAGAAAAGATTCCCATCTGAACATCTGAGCTGCTCAGCGCAGCTCGCTGTCAGCGCATATGTGCACAGCGAGCTGAAGTTGTGGAGATTGGCTTGGAGCGAGTTGCAGAACCAAAGCGCATGCGGGAAGGTTCCTCCCACTGAAGCGAGTGTTTTCCAAACCCTGTCTCTCAGAGAGACTTGTCACTTAGAAAATGTTCCCTGACTATGAAACTTTGGCTGAATAGTGCTTGTTCTTGTCTCCAATGTGGCGACACATCCAGGAGCCATCTGAGGAGAAGCCCAGAATCTCACATCCTCGTCAGCTCAGAGGCGCATATGATTACGCACAAGCGTGACCCGTCAACCAGGTCTCACAGTAAGACTGGGTTGGACCTGTTCAGGTTTACGCAGACAATCTTTACATAGAATTGACTTACAGATATAAAATTAATTCAGTAAAATACAAAGCATTTTATTTAAATATCCATTCATTATTTTACAAGCACAGAGAGCCGCATCAGATGGACGCGGGTTGTGACATGTTTTCTCCAAGACCAGAGAGGACGCAAACTCAATACATCTCTTTTATTGTGAGGTAATAATTTCTCCGAGTTTTGCGGTTGCGGGCGGGAGTAGACATGCACGCTACGGGTGCGGGTGGGAGTTTAACACACACGTTGCAGTTGCAGGCGGTAATGGTCAGAAATTCAGCAGGAGCGGGCAGGAGCGGGATGAAGAAAACAGTCCCGGGCAGGGCTCTACTGCTGCGTTTGTGTTTCAATTTTTTTTATGAATTCGATTAAAAATAAAGGCGCCCGGCCCGTGTGTCCGAGGTAATTACACAGTCGTTGGCCCGAAGCCCGGCCCGAGGGCCGTCGGGCCGGGCCGACCCGAGGGCCTAGGGCTTCAGTGCAGGGCTCTAGTGCTGCTTGTTTGCCTAAAGTTAGCTTACTATCAGGTAACGTTGTTGGAGAAAGAAAGGGAATATTTACTATCATCTCACACTAAACACTATAAGGAACAATACTCTGTCCTGAATATGCTTAATATGTAGCTTCAGATTAAAAATTATGTGGTACAAGACAAATATATATGATGTTGACTAGTGCGTGTCACGTGTGTGTGCACACGCGCGCGCGTGTGTGTGTTTGTGTTAAGCCCCGCATCTTCTTCAGTCCTAAATCTGCCCCTGGCTTAAGGACTGAATTACAGAAACAGTGAATCAGAATAAACAGGTGCAAGAGACAAGCATTTGGTTAAATTATTCAAACGATTTAGTCTGAAGCACATTAGAACTTTTTAACCTGTCGAACAGCAGGGAGCGCTGAACCCTAAAGGTTGGTTTATGCTTGACGCGTCCGCGAGGTCCACACGGCTCCGCGCGGAAAAGTTGCGTCATTTTAACAACCGCGCCCCTCCACCGCGCCTCCGCACGGCCCAAAATTTCCGCAACGCGCACCTAGGAAAACTTCTAACCACGCGGACGGTCAGACGCGGAAAAACATGGCGGACCGGCAAGAACTAGTATGGCAGAGGTTCGTAAATACAGACTTTTGTATGATTCAGCTCTCAAAGATCACCGTGATCAACATGTTGTTAATATTCTTGGAGAGAAATAGCTCGCACTGTCGGAAAAGACGAGGATGCTGTTAAAAAATGCTGGAATGCCATGTTGTAAACAGTAATTTCTACTTCTACTATGGTGTAGTGTTGGATGCATGCCGTAGAGCTCCATGTTGCCCCGTTCAGTTTGGGAGAATATTGGCTCACGGCAGAGACAAGCCGCATGAACCATAAACGCTGCGAGTTGTGAAGCGCGTTCCAGCCGCGAGCCGCGTCACCAAGCGGAAAGTGAATGCGTCAAGCATAAACCAAGCTTAACTCAGACACAGTTGGTACCCATCATCTCCTCTCCAGGATCTGCTCCTGCAATCAGAACAGGAAGTAGAGCTAGAAGGGGACATGGACTGAGAAACAACACACATTTAGTTCTGTTATTTTACCATCTGTCTCCTCCCTGGTGGCATAAACACTGGTACAACTGACATGAAAAAGCTTTTTCCACTGCTGACTTTTTGACCTGAATAAAGTCAGTTTAGGGCAAACTGCTGAATAAATACATTTCTTGAAATCTAACTGTTCTTTTAGTATATTTATAAGTTCCTATTTGTTGGAGACAAAGTGAGAAAGTCTGTTTATGTTTTCTTTAACATATTTAATGTAGTTCTCAGAATTATTATTGGATTAAACAAAATCTGTGTCTGCATATTTGCGTATACCTGTAAGACATACGTCATAAAATATGCTTTTATACTTTGGGGAAATTTAATGTCTAGAAATAGAATTGGGCAAAGCTAGGGATATATTAAAAATGGGAATAATACTTGTTTTAGTTATTCACATTTCAGAAAATAGCTTTGTTGGCGGCTTTAGGTCTTCATATATATTTTTTCCTTTCCAAATATGATGTTTTCACAGGAATCAAATGGAAGCCAGATGAACACGGGGTTATAGCTTTTGACTGTCGTAACCGGAAGTGGTACATCCAGGCGGCCACTTCTCCAAAGGATGTGGTGATCCTGGTGGATGTCAGCGGCAGCATGAAAGGCCTGAGGCTGACAATCGCCAGGCAGACTGTTTCTTCCATTCTGGACACGCTGGGAGATGATGACTTTTTCAACATAATAGCTGTAATTATACACAATGTAGCACACGGTAACAGGTGCACATGTGCTGGCCATAAACTTAAAATATCACGACAAAGTTGATTTATTTCAGTAATTCCATTCAAAAAGTGAAATGTGTATATTAAATTCATTCATTACACACAGACTGATGTATTTAAAATTTTTATTTCTTTCATTTTGATGATAACTGACAGCTAATGGAAATCCCAAATTCAGTATCTCAGAATATTAGAATGCTGTAAAAAGGTTTACAATTGAAGACCCCCGGTGACACACTCTAATCAGCTAATTAACAGAAAACACCTACAACAGCTTTACATGGTCTCTCAGTCTAGTTCCGTAGGCTACACAGTCATGGGGAGGACTGCTGACTTGACAGTTGTCAAAAAGATGACCACTGACACCTTACACAAGGAGGGCAAGACAAGGGCAAGTTTTTGAACGGAATTACTGGAATAAAAGAACTTTTTCATGATATTCTAATTGTATGACCATCACATTTAGCACTTGTAAAAACAAACACACAATTATCAACATATTGACCAGTCTTTAAAGGTAAAGTCCCATTAATCATCACACACTGGTGAAATTCACCTCCACATGTGACCCATCCCCGTGGGGAGTGGTGAGATGCAGCTGTGGCTGTGCTCGGGAGCTATTTGGTGGTTTAATCCCCCAATCAAACCTATTTAAAGCTGAGTGTCAAGCAGGGAGGTATTGGATCCCATTGTTCAAGTCTTTGGTATGACCCAACCAGGATTTTAACCCCGATCTCCTTGTTCCAAGGCATACACCCTACCACTAGAAAACTGGTTCTCGTAGAAACATTGTATTGAAATAAGACAATATTGGATCATTAAACACTGCACATAGTGTTTTGGTTAGGAGAATGTAGAGTGCTCATGTTAGAGTCAATCCTAAAAATCTAAATGTCCTCATCCAAACCAACTCGGATGATAAAATGAAGTCCCGTTTCAAAAACGTGATTGCAAAATTTGATTAGAAATCAACAGTTTTATTATCAGTCATTCACTGGATTGTTTACACTGAAAACATAGTGAAACCCACAGATTGCTTAGCAAAATGGCACTTCACACAGAAGATGTTTCTGAACAATTTGTGTTGATTAAATCCGATGTGTGCAACATGCTAATGCAAAAGAAATGGTGTGCAAAACTACACAATGTGACATGTGCACCTGAATTTCAAAGCAGGACATAGACTTTATGATGAACTAAAATGTTAGCTTGTCTCACCACTTCCTCATTCTACTAACTAATGCTGCTCTGGTTGCTATCTGCAGCAGGTAAGACACTGACTACTCATTAGCATCTTAAGAGGATAAAAACTACACTCAGAAAATAGCATTCATGCTTACAACCAAATATTATGACCCACATAAAAACACAGATATACACATACTCAAAAAAGACAAACTTCACTGTACTGTATCTCTTTTTAAGATGATGTGTAAACAAACACATTTTCTTTCCTGTCATGCTCAAAACAAATTAACATGCCTTTGAAAGAAGATCTTAAATGCACCAGACTGATTTTGTTGTTTCCAGCCTCAAGCATTCAAGCTTTTTTAAGGCTCATTCATTTTTGCAAGCACGGATGTGTTTAATGGCGTTAAAAAGCAAAGATAACAACAACAATATCCAGGTCCAGATAAGAAAATTAGTTAGAAAATTAATTTGTGTATCCCATTTTCTTAAAAATGTAAATTGGATAGAAATTTTTTTAATGAACTGATCAGTTTTTCTTTGTAATGAAATTATTTTCATAACAAAAACAACAAAAGACATTATGGTTTAGACATTTTACATCCAAATTTAGAAACTCAGATTGGAATCATTCAGTTTGATTTTATTTTTGCAGTTTTTATTCATTACTATTATTACTATTAGAATTGTGGGGCAGTGTATTGTTTTGGAGACAGAAGGTCTGCAATCATCGGACAAACTACATATGTGTGTAGCCTTTTGAGAAATGGGTCTAAGTTTGGGCTTGCTTCATGAAGCTACATCCACACACAAAAACTTGTCACCAATAGCAGATTAGAATACTTGTATTAATGTTGGAAGAACATAATTCTATTGTTTTTCTTGGACTTTGAAGTCTAATTTATACTGATGCATTAACCACTGACTACTATCACAGAATTACAGGCGCTGACTACAATACATAAAGCAGTGTGTGTGTGTGTGTGTGTGTGTGTGTGAGTGTGTGTGAGTGTGAGTGTGTGTGTGTGTGTGTTCTTTTATCAGGACAAGAGAAATTAAACTTCTTCCCATGATCATTTTGAACATTAAACATTTAAGCTGATTCAAAGTTCTGAATTACGTCACTTTCATGAATTATCTTTGTTTCTTCAGTACAACGAGGAATTACATTATGTGGAACCGTGTCTGAATGGAACGCTGGTCCAAGCGGATGTAACCAACAAAGATGTAAGTCTAAGCTTTTTCTGTGATTTGTTTCCTCTTGTTTTCTGTGAGCTAATAGCAACTTAATCAAATGTCCTTTTATTTAGACAGTTGTTGTTTCCAAATGTTTAATGATTAGATGATACGTTTGTTTATCACTCGACCATGAAAGCTTCAGCTCTTTTAAATCCTTTTTGCACATTTTCACTTGCTTCCCTTATGTTTAGAGAAGCATGACTGGGATGCCAACATTTATTGGCAATTCTCTTCCTGCATATACTCTGTTGTCCAGTTACTTCTACTTTTCTTAAGAATACAGCCTTGCTGTCATAAGTAGAGTAGAGAAGCTACAGATTGGAGAGGCAGAGGAGTAAATGTGATTTTGATTTATTAATATAATAAAGCTGACAGGACAGCAAGGCAAAACTTTTAAAGGTCTGAAGCACAAAGACAAGCAAAATGAAAGATGTTTTTGGTTTTGAGCCACAGTGTAAAAGTAGGCATAAAATCCTGCCATTCTCTAATTCCTCGTCCACACAGGGTTCAAATTTTAAGATTTAAAAACTCTCCACCTTGAACGCATCTTTAAAAGCATTTTTCCCCCACCCAAAATTTTGCGTACGAATGAGTGGGTCAGTATTTTTAAATAACTGGAGTATTGTGGGCATGGCCTTACAGCAGGGGTCACCAGCCTTTGTGAAGCTGAGAGCTGCTTCATGGGTAGCCAATACAAAAGGCTACCAGGTTGGTGACCCCTGCCTTAGAGAAGTTAAGGTCTAATTATGGAGGGATGTAAAATTATTTTTTAATCAACCCGACAGAAAATAATTAAAGTGTTCAAGAGAACATAAAATTAGTGAACACTCCAAATTTCAAATCCAGAAACTCAAGAGATTTGAAAACAAGAAATAAAAAAGGCAGGTTACATCAGCTAATCGGGCTGTAGACAGAAAATAGGGTTCACTCAGCATCATTTTACAAACTGTGTTAATCTATAGACACACCAACTGGATTAGGAGGACATCTTATCGAATTTTTATTTGAAATATCAATCAACAGCCCGATTATTGGTCTTAATGAAACAGTTCTCACAATCCAAAATGAAAACACTGATCTCATCCTTATCTTAATTCATTCAAGCTTAAACTAGAGCTGGATGGTTATTTTTTTACTTCATTAATAATTTTGTCATCCTTTAATAATTAAAAGCAATATTATACAGATAAAACAATTATCACGGCTTTAGTTTCAGACTGTGATCTCCTTTTATCTTGTGTTGCTAATTAACTGCATGCCATTACTATTCAGCTTTAGTCCTTCACTAAAATCACACTTCTCACCAGGCTGTGGACCTTTTAAATTGCACTATTTATATAACTTTGAGACATTTTTCTCAAAATTTATTTCACACATGTCAGTAGGCTAAGCATCAAATCCTGCAGATGTGTAAATGTGATAAAGAAGTTTGTAGAATGTGTTCCCCTTTTCCTTAAATAGTATTAACAACAATTCTACCTCAAAGAGACAATCAGTAGTTTTTACCTTTAGTCTCTGGAAATATCCATCAGAACGTTGTTGAAAATGAATAAAACGATGTCCAGTTGTTGGCGGCTTGTTACCATACTGTTTAACCATAAAAATCAGGTCTAAAGTCAGTTTAGGGGTTAGTTTAGGGGTCAGTTTTTCTCTGTTCAAAGAAAAAAAAAGAGGGACGTAGTTACTGTTTATACTCTGTGAGTTCGTGAGGTTGCCGGGTCTCCGGCAACATTTGTAATTCAACACAAGCAGGCAAAAAGTATCACAGTTGTTTAAAAAACCAAAGCCAGTAAATATGATTAACCCAGAAGTTATTTTTTGCAACCTTAAGCAGCCGCAGCATCCTTTTGTTTTCCTCTGATACTGGGTAAAGAAGGCTAGAGGCTAATGTTGAGCCAACAATGCTAACAGTGATTTAGACACAGTCAGCTCTAAAAATCTTTCGAGCTCTTTTTCATCTACCAACATCTCATGCTTATAGTGAAATGTGTGTTTGAAGTGAATAATGAGTCAATTGTGGTGCTTTACTTCCTTAAATGAGTCGTTCAGAAATATAACAGCAACAGCAAGATGGCAAACAGCCACACTTCCTGTAATATCTGAGAAATATTACCGTAATAAGTGTAGTAAGTGCTCCCTACCATAAAACACCCAAGACTTATCAACTTGTGTACTGTGTACTCATGTACTCTTTGCTGTGCACTCAACTTGACTCACCATCTAGATCTTCTGGCGCTGATTTGTAGCTGGCAACAGCCATACAACTCATGGAACAGTAGTGAAAAAGTGATTAAATTTCTTAGGAAAATAGACTGCAGTTACATAATTTGAACATAATACAGGTGCTGGCCAGTAAATTAGAATATCATCAAAAGGTTGAAAATATTTCAGTAATTCCATTCAAAACGTGAAACTTGTACATTATATTCATGCAATGCACACAGACCAATGTATTTCCAATGTTCATTACATTTAAATTTGATATTCATAAGTGACAACTAATGAAAACTCCAAATTTGGTATCTCAAAAAATTAGAATATTCTGAAAAGGCTGAATATAGAAGACACCTGCTGCCACTCTAATCAGCTGATTTACTCAAAATACCTGCAAAGGCCTTTAAAAGGTCCCTCAGTCTTGTTTTGAAGGCACCACAATCATGGGGAAGACTTCTGACTTAACAGCTGTCCAAAAGACAATCATTGACACCTTGCACAAGGAGGGCAAGACACAAAAGGTGATTGCTAAAGAAGCTGGCTGTTCGCAGAGCTCTGTGTCCAAGCACATTAACAGACAGGCGAAGGGACGGAAAAAATGTGGTAGAAAAAAGTGTACAAGCTCTAGGGATAACCGCACCCTGCAGAGAATTGTGACGACAAACCCATTCAAAAATGTGGGGGAGATCCACAAAGAGTGGACTGCAGCTGGAGTCAGCGCTTCAAGAACCACCACGAGGAGACTCATGAAAGACATGGGATTCAGGTGTCGCATTCCGTGTGTCAAGCCACTCTTGAACAAGAAACAGCGCAAGAAGCGTCTCGCCTGGGCCAAGGACAAAAAGGACTGGACTGATGCTGAGTGGTCCAAAGTTATGTTTTCTGATGAAAGCAAGTTCTGCATTTCCTTTGGAAATCAAGGACCCAGAGTCTGGAGGAAGAGCGGAGAAGCACAGAATCCACGTTGCATGAGGTCCAGTGTAAAGTTTCCACTGTCAGTGATGGTGTGGGGTGCCATGTCATCTGCCGGTGTTGGCCCACTCTGTTTCCTGAGGTCCAGGGTCAATGCAGCCGTCGACCAGGAAGTTTTAGAGCACTTCATGCTTCCTGCTGCTGACCAACTTTATGGGGATGCAGACTTCACCTTTCAACAGGACTTGGCACCTGCACACAGTGCCAAAACCACCAGCACCTGGTTCAAGGACCATGGTATCCCTGTCCTTGATTGGCCAGCAAACTCGCCTGACCTTAACCCCATAGAAAATCTATGGGGTATTGTGAAGCGGAGGATGCAATACGCTAGACCCAACAATGCAGAGGAGCTGAAGACGACTATCAGAGCAACCTGGGCTCTCATAACACCTGAGCAGTGCCACAGACTGATCGAGTCCATGCCACGCCGCATTACTGCAGTTATTGAGGCAAAAGGAGCCCCGACTAAGTATTGAGTGCTATACATGCACATTCTTTTCATGTTCATTCTTTTCAGTTGGCCAACATTAGAGAAACAAACATTTTTTCATTGGCCTTTAGAATATTCAAATTTTCTGAGATACCAGATTTGATGTTTTCATTGGTTGTCACCTATAAATATCAAAATTAAACGTAATAAACATCGGAAATGCATTGGTCTGTGTGCATTGCATGAATATAATGTACAAGTTTCACGTTTTGAATGGAATTACTGAAATATTTTCAACCTTTTGATGATATTCTAATTTACTGGCCAGCACCTGTATGTCAATCTTACATATTGCACCTTTAATCTGGTTTATTTAGGTCTCACCGAGAGATTTTTTCAACAGTTTTTTGTAAGAACTATGTTTTGACAAGGTTTCCAAAGATTGATGTAAGGACTGTAAGGACTTCTAACTAATTTGCTCTTAGCAAAGGTTAGGGTATTAAAGGTGCAGTATGTAAGAATATAGTCAGATTTTTACAGCGAAAAAATCCCAAACGAGTCTAATGTTTCTGTCATTTTGGAATAGAGGTTATACTGAAACATATTTCATATCCATCTGGCTGCAGGGATTGTCAGTTTTTCCTCCTTTCAAAACAAAGGAAGGAGCAGTGATGGGAATAACGCCATTTAAAATAATGACGTTACTAACGGTCCGTGTACATGACGGCCATCCGATTTTCCTTTGGAAATAAAAAACAAAAAAAAAGGGAAACGAGCCGTTTTGCCGATCAGCAATCAAAAAACAAAAGAATGTAAACGAAAGTCAACTCGTTTTTTGTTTTTCTATTTTCAACATAAAAAAGAAAAACGGAAAACAAACTTTTTTTTGTTTTTCGATTGTGTATTTCAAGATGAAACGTTTAAATCAGAAAATAAGGGGAAATAGTTCATTTTCTGCCTTAAATTTACCTTTTTCGCTGTGACCAGGAAGTTTACCTGCAAAAATAAAAGTGAAGAAGAACACGAGAAGGAAAAACAATTGCGTTAGCAGAAGACATCGGTTTTCATGCATGTAGATAAATAAAATCTGGATTAATCCACACCTTGTACAATAATGGCGTTGCACGAGTTTGCTGATTTTATCAAAGCTCAAAGGATAACTTGGATGTCATGTGGCGACATCGCTGCTGCTTTATGCCATGAGTCTGGAACGGCACGGCGGGGATTTTCTGAGAGAAATGTGAGGAGGTGGTGCGCTGAACAAGGACTTGTTAAAGAATTTTGTCCTGACAACCGGCTGGAAATTGAAATAGCGCAAAGTATTTCCGAGGTATGCATTTAATTTATTTATGTAGCCAACATAGGTTGATTA